TATGTTTGTATGTTTAATGTTGCAATCTATGGCTGTGTGGAAATGTTGACAATTATTTGGCGTTTAGTGGCGATTCTTTTTGTGATTCGATTTAAAAAAAGGAAATGCGAAAGCAATGTCTGAAATGGAAGTGGATCTGAAGTCCAAATAGGGCAAGCAGAAATTTGCTTCAAATATCACTTAAAACATAAATATTTTTCTAAAATTTTGACACTATTTAAAATTTTCTTTTTAAAAATTTCCCACTACATGACGACTTCACAAATCTGTCTATAAATTCATTGATTCGAATAATCGTTTTCTGAAAACAATACAAAAACCTCAAACATATTTGATTGTATAGTATCGTATTGATGAAGTTGAAAATGCTTAATATTTTTACTAGGAAAACATTTAGTCAAAAATTTACATTCATAAATTCCTTTAGGAAAATATTCCAACAAACAAAACGAAAAACTTAACAAACGACATGACCATCTATTGCACCATCGATCAAAATTACAAAATAATGAAATAAAATAAAAATCCTGCAAAAGCCAGTTACATCAACATATTAGTGGACATCATCATCTTGATAACCAGCTGAAAGTTTGCTTATATTTTAAAAGCAGCCCCAGTCGTATCAAAAGATTTTCCTGTAATACAAAGAATATGTTGATTTAAACAAACTGCATTTGAGAGTCATGGCCAAAGTAAACATTTTCTATTTCTAATATTTGTCTTTTTTTTTTTTGTTTGTTTGTTTTTGTTCCCTCTATTTACTATTAGTTATTTAAGTTATGTTTTTAATATGGCAGGGAAATCAAAATCAAATTGCTAAGGAACTTGACAAATTACCAATTTGGTTAAACAAATTTTTTTCATTTTGGCAAAGATTTCCGCATTGTTGTAAAAATACGAGATTTCTTTTTCTTTCTTCTCATATTCATGTAATAGTTTTTAATAGTATTCATTATGGTTTTACTAAAGTTATGGTGGTTTTATTGTAATAAATACTTATGTCACATATGAACGCAACGTAAAACGTAAACTTAATTAGAGAATTATTATATTTCCTGAAAAAATAAACCTTTTTAAGAAAAGACTATAGTTCATTCTATAGTCCAGACTATGGTCAATAGTATAGTATGGACTATAGTATTCACTAGAGTCTATAACATAGTTCAGACTATGGTTTATCCTGTACTCTGGACTATTGTATATGTTATAGTCCAGACTATAGTTCAGATTATAGTCCATACTATAGTCCAGATTATAGTCTATACTATAGTCCAGACTTTAGTCTATACTATAGTCCAGACTATAGTCCAGACTATAGTCTATACTATAGTCTATACTATAGTCCAGACTATAGTCTATACTATAGTCCAGACTATAGCCTATACTATAGTCCAGACTATAGTCTATACTATAGTCCAGACTATAGCCTATACTATAGTCCAGACTACAGTCTATACTATAGTCCAGACTATAGTCTATACTATAGTCCAGACTATAGCCTATACTATAGTCCAGACTATAGTCTATACTATAGTCCAGACTATAGTCTATACTATAGTCCAGACTATAGTCTATACTATAGTCCAGACTATAGTCTATACTATAGTCCAGACTACAGTCTATACTATAGTCCAGACTATAGTCTATACTATAGTCCAGACTATAGTCTATACTATAGTCCAGACTATGGTCTATACTATAGTCCAGACTATGGTCTATACTATAGTCTATACTATAGTCCAGACTATAGTCTATACTATAGTCCAGACTATAGTCTATACTATAGTCTATACTATAGTCTATACTATAGTCTATACTATAGTCTATACTATAGTCTATACTATAGTCTATACTATAGTCTATACTATAGTCTATACTATAGTCTATACTATAGTCTATACTATAGTCCAGACTATAGTCTATACTATAGTCCTGACTATAGTCTATACTATAGTCCAGACTATAGTCTATACTATAGTCCAGACTATAGTCTAGACTATAGTCTATACTATAGTCCAGACTATAGTCCAGACTATAGTCTATACTATAGTCTATACTATAATCCAGACTATAGTCTATACTATAGTCCAGACTATAGTCTACTATAGTCCAGACTATAGTCTATACTATAGTCCAGACTATAGTCTATACTATAGTCCAGACTATAGTCTATACTATAGTCCAGACTAGTCTATACTATAGTCCAGACTATAGTCTATACTATAGTCCAGACTATAGTCTATACTATAGTCCAGACTATAGTCTATACTATAGTCCAGACTATAGTCTATACTATAGTCCAGACTATAGTCTATACTATAGTCCAGACTATAGTCTATACTATAGTCCAGACTATAGTCTATACTATAGTCCAGACTATAGTCTATACTATAGTCCAGACTATAGTCTATACTATAGTCCAGACTATAGTCTATACTATAGTCCAGACTATAGTCTATACTAAAGTCCAGATTATAGTCTATACTATAGTCCATACTATAGTCTATACTATAGTCCAGACTATAGTCTGGACTATAGTATAGACTATAATCTGGACTTTAGTATAGACTATAGTCTGGACTATAGTATAGACTATAGTCTGTACTATAGTATAGACTATAGTCTGGACTATAGTATAGACTATAGTCTGGACTATAGTATAGACTATAGTATAGACTATAGTATAGACTATAGTATAGACTATAGTATAGACTATAGTATAGACTATAGTATAAACTATAGTATAGACTATAGTATAGACTATAGTATAGACCATAGTCTGGACTATAGTATAGACCATAGTCTGGACTATAGTATAGACCATAGTCTGGACTATAGTATAGACTATAGTCTGGACTATAGTATAGACTATAGTCTGGACTATAGTATAGACTATAGTCTAGACTATAGTATAGACTGTAGTCTGGACTATAGTATAGACTATAGTCTGGACTATAGTATAGACTATAGTCTGGACTATAGTCTGGACTATATTATAGACTATAGTCTGGACTATAGTATAGACTATAGTCTGGACTATAGTATAGACTATAGTCTGGACTATAGTATATAGAATATAGTATAGACTATACTATAGTCCAGACTATAGTCTATACTATAGTCCAGACTATAGTCTATAATATAGTCCAGACTATAGTCCAGACTATAGTCTATACTATAGTCCAGACTATAGTCTATACTATAGTCCAGACTACAGTCTATACTATAGTCTAGACTATAGTCTATACTATAGTCCAGACTATGGTCTATACTATAGTCCAGACTATGGTCTATACTATAGTCCAGACTATGGTCTATACTATAGTCTATACTATAGTCTATACTATAGTCTATACTATAGTTTATACTATAGTCTATACTATAGTCTATACTATAGTCTATACTATAGTCTATACTATAGTCTATACTATAATCTATACTATAGTCTATACTATAGTCCAGACTATAGTCTATACTATAGTACAGACTATAGTCTATACTATAGTCCAGACTATAGTCTATACTAAAGTCCAGATTATAGTCTATACTATAGTCTATACTATAGTCCAGACTATAGTCTGGACTATAGTATAGACTATAGTCTGGACTATAGTCTGGACTATATTATAGACTATAGTCTGGACTATAGTATAGACTATAGTCTGGACTATAGTATAGACTATAGTCTGGACTATAGTATATAGACTATAGTATAGACTATACTATAGTCTATACTATAGTCCAGACTATAGTCTATACTATAGTCCAGACTATAGTCTATACTATAGTCCAGACTATAGTCTATACTATAGTCCAGACTATAGTCTATACTATAGTATAGACTATACTATAGTCTATACTATAGTCCAGACTATAGTCTATACTATAGTCCAGACTATAGTCTATACATAGTCCAGACTATAGTCTATACTATAGTCCAGACTATAGTCTATACTATAGTCCAGACTATAGTCTATACTATAGTCCAGACTATAGTCTATACTATAGTCCAGACTATAGTCTATACTATAGTCCAGACTATAGTCTATACTATAGTCCAGACTATAGTCTATACTATAGTCCAGACTATAGTCTATACTATAGTCCAGACTATAGTCTACTATAGTCCAGACTATAGTCTATACTATAGTCCAGACTATAGTCTATACTATAGTCCAGACTATAGTCTATACTAGTCCAGACTATAGTCTATATAGTCCAGACTATAGTCTATACTATAGTCCAGACTATAGTCTATACTATAGTCCAGACTATAGTCTATACTATAGTCCAGACTATAGTCTATACTATAGTCCAGACTATAGTCCAGACTATAGTCTATACTATAGTCCAGACTATAGTCTATACTATAGTCCAGACTATAGTCCAGACTATAGTCTATACTATAGTCCAGACTATAGTCTATACTATAGTCCAGACTATAGTCTATACTATAGTCCAGACTATAGTCTATACTATAGTCCAGACTATAGTCTATACTATAGTCCAGACTATAGTCTATACTATAGTCCAGACTATAGTCTATACTATAGTCCAGACTATAGTCCAGACTATAGTCTATACCATAGTCCAGACTATAGTCTATACTATAGTCCAGACTATAGTCTATACTCTAGTCCAGACTAGTCTTTACTATAGTGCAGACTATAGTCTATATTATAGTTCAGACTATAGTCCATAACAAACATAATTCCGACTATAAGGAGTTTTCGATTGTTTAATTTATTGATCGTTAATAAGGAATTTTTACTCTAATCAATATAGCTGATTACATAATAATCATAATTGTATTATGTAAATTATCTTGCTTATAAGCAATAAAGGAAATGTGAAAATTTCAAAAAAAATTACTCATCTTTCAACACATCAAAACTTATAAGTATAATTGAAATGTGTATAATTGAAATGTGTATGTATACATACACATTTCAATTATTTTATGATTTAGATATCAATTCAATATTTATGTTCATTTTCAGTTTCATTCAACAAGCTGTAATAACTGGGCAGGGAACATCTTACGTTTTTGTGGCACAAAAGAAAATCATGTTCGTATTGGAAATTTCAAAAGGAAAAATCGAAATGAGTGTAAGTTTTTGCAACGATCATTGAAAGTGTTGAATGTGAGTAATCTATTAAACACGTACTCAATGTTTCGTTTTTTTTCAAATTTTTTTTTTACAATTTTTGCATTTTAGTTTCATTTGAAGATGAAAATAGCCAAACAATCGTAATTTTTAGATGAATTATTTTGTTAAGCGTAAAAGTGTAATTTTTCTTGCTTAATATATTTTCACTAATGAAGATAACCACAGATTACATTTAAAATAAATATTACGAATTGTTAAATGTATTTTGCAAAGAAAGTGAAATTTTAAGTTTTAAACAAAAAAGGTCAAGAAAAAGTTCATTCAAACCAAAAAATGATTTTAAAGAAATTTTTCTTCAAAATTTTTAATACTAATGATTCACCAAGAATTTAAGAAATTTATGTAATTAAACAGGATATTATCGTTATTATTTATATGGTCCATAAAGTGGAGCAATAAGATTTTACATTAGTTTTCTTTATTATTTTTTTGATTCTTTATTATTTTAATTCTCATGTCCATTTTTGCAATATAATTTATGAAAACTAATAAAGGTTTAATAAACCTTTTCCTTTACGTAATCATTAGAATTGCTTACATGTTTAGTTAGCATAAACATCATTATTATAAAATATATTCTTGATTTCAGTCGAATATTCAGTTATATAAAAGATTGGATTCCAGAATATTGTTTATACTATAGACCAGATTATAGTCCAGACTATAGTCTATACTATATATAGTCCAGACTATAGCTTATGCTATAAACCAGACTATAGTATGGACTATAGTCCAGACTCTAGTCCATAGTCCATACTTTCATCTATGCTATAATGCAGGCTATAGTCTAGACTATAGTCCATACAATAGTATAGACTATAGTCCATACTATAGTGTAGACTATGGTCCATACTACTTTCTAGACTATATTCCATACTACTGTCTAGACTATTGTCCACATTATAGTCTATACTATAGTCCAGACTATAGTCCATATTATAGTCTATACTATATTCCAGACTATAGTCTGTACTATAGTCCATACTATAGTCTATAATATAGTCTATAGTCTATACTTTAGTCTAGACTATATTCTGTACTATAGTCAGTAGTATAGTCCAGACTAAAGTATATACTATAGTCTAAACTATAGTATTACTATAGTCCAGACTATATTCTTAACCATAGTTCAGAATATAGTCTATATTATAGTCCAGAATATAGTCTATACTATAGTCCAGTCTATAGTCTATGCTACAATCAAAACTATAGTCTATACCATAGTCCAGACTATAGTCTACTCTATAGTCCAGACTATAGTCTATACTATATCCAATCCAAACTATAGTCTATACTATATCCAATCCAAACTATAGTCTAAACTATAGCAGAGACTACAGTCTACAATAGTCCAGATTATAGTCTATACTATAGTCCAGAATATAGTCTATACTGTAGTCCACACTATAGTCTATACTATAATCCAAACTATAGTCTATACTATAGTCCAGACTATAGTCTATACTATAGTCCAGACTATATTCTATACTATAGTCAAGACTATAGTCTGTAGTATAGTCCAGACTAAAGTCTAAACCATAGTCCAGACTATAGTCTAAACTATAGTCCAGAATTTAGTCTAAACTATAGTCCAGACTATAGTCTAAACTATAGTCCAGACTATAGTCTAAACTGTAACGATTCTAAAGGTTTGGTGTAGTTGGTATGGGAAAGATGCTACCTATAATACGGCCGTGCTCGTCGGTGGGGTGAGTTCGTTCCCATAAAAAAAATATAATAAAATGGTTTATAGAATGCGTTACCTAGACTTCAAATTAGGTAGCCATACATAAATATAATCCATAAGGTATACTAGAAGTGGTAAAATGTTAGAGTGTAGCTTTTGATGTCGTTCGCTACACTTTTCCCGAGCCCACCCTCCATGCTGACGGAATTAAAGTTTGTTGTCAGCCCAAAACAAAAAAAAAAATGATAACAAAACAAAACCTTATCCTACATACCCCATACTCTTAACTTCACCTTTCATAATTAAAATATTCAAAATTTCATATTTCAATTCATTATAATATATATTATTTAAAATTTATTAATGTGTTTGAAATCAAATGGTTAAAATTGTGATATGTATTAAGAATAGGTCACCATAAGTTAATTTATGAATTATATTTAAAATATTAACGAATATTAAAGGATAAAAACATTATAAAATTTTAAAACGATATTTTTTTTTAATATCAAAATTATATTAAAATTGTATGTATGTATAATGTAGGGTGTCCAACAAAAAGGTATTATGAACAATTCATATTATAGTATGAAGGTATCAAAGAAAACAAATAAAAACTATGGCAACACTTGTTGCAATTTAAATTAGAGTAACATTTAAAAATTGTTCATATCAGATGTTAATGTATTCTTAATTGATTTTTTTTTTTTTTTTTTTTTTTTTAATGTGGATTATATTTAGATACATAGATAAAACAAATACAACACCACTTACATTAAATTATTGTCCCACGATGTCAGCGGCGCCGGATGACAGAAGATGGTTGCGTGTTGAACTTAAAAAAAACTTTTAAATATGTACCTAAACAGAGTTTGTACTGTATATATGTGTGTGGATTGTATATTTAATTATAAAAAAACTTTTATATCCATTAAAGATACAATCCACATGAGCTTAAGTGTAGACTTTAATTATTATTTAAAATTAGATTTTTGTTTAGTAGATTTATGTATGTGTATTGAATGTGGTATGTGGAATGTGGATTATGTTTTAAATGAAATTATAAATTTTCATCTAATTCAGAATCCACATACTATTGAAATTGTTTTGTCTTATATAATTATAAGTTAAATATTAAGTTCCAAAATTTTATATAGTATACTTTTAGGATGTCAAATATAAAACACTATTTATCCTAGGTGACCATAAGGAATTTAAACAATTTCAATTTAAAATTACAAACAATGAATACGATAATTGATTAATAAAAAAAACAAGTCCAAAGAAATTGTACGATTTTAGAATTTAAAAATTAAAAGAAAATTAAATCGAAATTAACAAGAATGTTGTCTAAATTTATGTGTAATTATGTTTTGATGTCAAATTTAAAAAAAAAATCTCGGCTTATTGAAACGGGAGCAAAAAAAAAATCGTTCAAGTAAATGAAGGTATCGTATCCAACGATATTAGAATTTCTCTTTTATCTTTCCACTTTTATATAAAAACTGGCCACCTTATTTGTATAAACTAATGTATCTGGAACTTCCCTTACAGGGAAGTCCGATTTCAACGGCAACCACACAAAAAAAATAATATGGATTGTATCCTGAGACCAAAATCTTGAATGTTGTTATCCACAGAATATTGATAAAATGAATAATTGACCAATTAGGATGAACAGGTTAAGAAAAAAGATAGTAAATTCCGTAGGAAACGGTGACAGTCTTCCAACAATACCTCAGGAAAGATAAATCCTAAAATAAATGCATATTGCCTTTAACACCTAAACATTAACCAAATCCTTTAACAATGTCCTTACCTTTGCGAACAAAATGAACAGAAATTCTCCAATATTTAAAGTTTTCCAATCCAAAAGTTTGAAAATATTAAAATAATTTAAATTTTCTCTGACTTTTTGAACTAACACCTTTTAAAATTATTTTACAAATGACGAAAAATTTTCTATTTTCTGATAATTCATAAAACAAAAATCAAGGCTATCTATGAAACAAAACATAAAAATAAAATTCTAATAAAAATTTGAATATTTTTACAGCCAAAGCAAAATTTAGTTGAAATTAATAAAATATTATTTTGAATAAAACTAATGAAAAGTAGACACCCTCACAAAACTATAGTCCAGACTATAGTCTAAACTATAGTCCAGACCATAGCCTAAACTATAGTCCAGACTATAGTCCATACTACAGTACAGACTATAGTATATATCATAGTTCAGACTATAGTCTATATTATAGTCTATACCGTAGTCCAGACTACAGTCTATACTATAGATATATTATAGTCTATACCGTAGTCCAGACTATAGTCTATACTATAGTCTTTACCGTAGTCCAGACTATAGTCTATAACATAGTCCAGATTATAGTCCAGACTGTAGTCTATACTATAGTCTAGACTATAGTCTATACCATAGTCCAGACTATAGTCCAGATCTATATATACTATATCCAATCCAAACTATAGACTAGACTATTGTCTATACTATAGCAGAGACTACAGTTTACTATAGTCCAGGCTATATTCTATACTATAGTCCAGATTATATTCTATACTATAGTCGAGATTATAGTCTATACTATATTTCAGAATATAGTCTATACTATAGTCCAGACTGTAGTCAGTCTATAGTCTATACTAAAGTCCAGACTATAGTCTATACTAGAGTCCAAACTATAATCTATACTACAGTCCAGACTTTAGTCTATACTACAGCCTGGACTATAGTATAGTAGTCCACACCATTTGTCTTAATCATTTTTATTTCCTTACAAGAATACACTCCCTTCCAACTCCTGTCTTTTTAATAATAAAACAAAAAAACACTCATTCATGTTAGCCATCAAATGTTTATATTCTAATGAAAATAGTTAGAATGCATGGACCTTAAATAAACATTAATGTTTTTTGAATGCTTTCAAACAGCACAACACAACCAAAATTAAAACCTTATACTAAAAACCAAAACCTGACTGTCTGCCTGAATGTTTGACCATTTCCCTGGCTGCATGCATTTGTAAACATTTATTATTATGAGAAGCAATTAAGGCACATTAGTTGGTCAAGTTTCGACTCGTATAAATGCCGCCTTTATAAGCGAATACTACATGATTCCAATTTGTGCATGTAAACTGTGGAGAGACCAACAAATGGCCACAAACATTTTTGAGCCCTTAATTAGCGTTATACAATTTTAACTATACGAAAGAAAAAAAAAACACAGACCAAACACAAACATTTTGCAAATGCATAAATACACCAGAGAGATACGAAAAGGAAATAATATAAAAAAACTCTGCTTAGAAGTTAAAGAAAGCGGCCTTTTATGATGGGGTTTATGAATGGTTGTTGCATACAACTTATATCGACTGCCGTCCAACTAAACTACCAACCATTGGACCAAACTAACTAATATTATGGACAGCATTCTTAGAAAACAATTTCTAAAGCTGCCAATTGAGTTGTTCACTTAACATCAGATTGTAGTAATATTTTATGCAATTCTCTAAAACACTACACAAATGATAAATATTAACAGAGCTGAGGAGGAAAATAGCAAAGGAAATTCCATTCCCTAAAATACAGTAAAGTTAGAGAATTGAATTAGAACTAGTTCCTCTATTTACCTTCGTTCGAATTTAAAAATAATTTAAATTGTAAAATTCCTAGGTGAATGAAATGTTCACTCTTACTCTTACATACTGCTATTTATCTCACCCACCACTGTCAAATCTTTGCTTATTGAGTCGTTCTCACAATCATAATTTTGCCGCAACGTTATAGTGGCGATATTTCCCTTTACACCTCCTTTTAGGTGCGTGAGGTCTTTTATTATAAATTGTTGTTTTTTTTGTCTTCAGCTACAAGTGCAACTAAATGAAGAAGTGATTTGTTTATAGCAAAGAAAAGCCGGCAAAAACATTTCATTACATCATATGCTACAGACATGAAAAGTGTCCGGCAAATCGTGTGTTTTTATTTGGACATCAGTATGCATTAGTCTTTATTAAAGCCTACTGTAGGATTTTTTATAGTATTCTATTATATATGTGGACTGATAAAGGATTTTAGCATATTGATGATCCTGTTGTTGTGCCTTAGATAGATTAGTAGTCAGTGTTGTATTTTGTCAGACCAGAGGTCGTGGGTTCGATTCTTATAAGAGACATTTATATAGGAGCGCACAACGGGCTCGATGGAGTACTAAGCGTAAGTTTTCCTTCGGATTAGATGTAATATACATCCTCCTTTCAAACAAACTAACTAAATTTATTAAGATCGGTCTAGTTCGACCCTTGTACAAATAATAAAAAAACCGATTTCCTTTCAAAAATTATGTGTAAGCTAGTAATTTAAGTCATGTTATATTAAAAGTGGGATGTACATGTACGACATAAGTTTTGAAAAACTATATCTGAGCCGATGTGGGGCCTGTTGTGCACTCTTTTGTGGATAATGTTGTTTTAAAATCATAATGTTCTTCTCAATCAGTTTCCAATTAGTGTCCCTGAGCAATGTAGCGTCCCCTGCAATAACATTGTTTTAAAGATATTTGGATCTAATTTCGCCTGACAATGACAAAAAACTTGTTCCAGAGTTTCACTGTCCCCTGCTCATGTTCTACATTCCTCCAATTGTGTGCAGTTGTGTCCGCAGTCCTATGTGCGAATTTAAAATATGCATCATCATATTTACCGCGGATTTCTGAATTTTCAGATGAATTTTCTTTTTCTGCTTTCCCATATGATTTTATTGGTCCTACCCATCATTTAGTTAGTTAGTTAGTTAGTTAGTTAGTTAGTTAGTTAGGTAGGTAGTTAGTTAGTTAGTTAGTTAGTTAGTTAGTTAGTTAGTTAGTAGTAGTTAGTTAGTTAGTTAGTTAGTTAGTTAGTTAGTTAGTTAGTTAGTTAGTTAGTTAGTTAGTAGTTAGTTAGTTAGTTAGTTAGTTAGTTAGCTAGTAGTTAGTTAGTTAGTTAGTTAGTTAGTTAGTTAGTTAGTTACTTAGTTAGTTAGTTAGTTAGTTAGTTAGTTAGTTAGTTAGCTAGCTAGTTAGTTAGTTGTTAGTTAGTAGTTAGTTAGTGTTAGTTAGTTAGTTAGTTAGTTAGTTAGTTAGTTAGTTAGTTAGTTAGTAGTTAGTTAGTTAGTTAGTTAGTTAGTTAGTTAGTTAGTTAGTTAGTTAGTAGTTAGTTAGTTAGTTAGTTAGTTAGTCAGTTAGTTAGTTAGTTAGTTAGTTAGTTTAGTAGTTAGTTAGAGTTAGTTAGTTAGTTAGTTAGTTAGTTAGTTAGTTAGTTAGTTAGTTAGTTAGTTAGTTAGTTAGTTAGTTAGTTAGTTAGTTAGTTAGTTAGTTAGTTAGTTAGTTAGTTAGTTAGTTAGTTAGTTAGTTAGTTAGTTAGTTAGTTAGTTAGTTAGTTAGTTAGTTAGTAGTAGTTAGTTAGTTAGTTAGTTAGTTAGTTAGTTAGTTAGTAGTTAGTTAGTTAGTTAGTTAGTTAGTTAGTTAGTTAGTTAGTTAGTTAGTTAGTTAGTTAGTTAGTTAGTTAGTTAGTTAGTAGTAGTTAGTAGTTAGTTAGTTAGTTAGTTAGTTAGTTAGTTAGTTAGTTAGTTAGTTAGTTAGTTAGTTAGTTAGTTAGTTAGTTAGTTAGTTAGTAGTTAGTTAGTTAGTTAGTTAGTAGTTAGTTAGTTAGTTAGTTAGTTAGTTAGTTAGTTAGTTAGTTAGTTAGTTAGTTAGTAGTTAGTTAGTTAGTTAGTTAGTTAGTTAGTTAGTTAGTTAGTTAGTTAGTTAGTTAGTTAGTTAGTTAGTTAGTTAGTAGTTAGTTAGTTAGTTAGTTAGTTAGTTAGTTAGTTAGTTAGTTAGTTAGTTAGTTAGTTAGTTAGTTAGTTAGTAGTTAGTAGTTAGTTAGTTAGTTAGTTAGTAGTTAGTTAGTTAGTTAGTTAGTTAGTTAGTTAGTTAGTTAGTTAGTTAGTTAGTTAGTTAGTTAGTTAGTTAGTTAGTTAGTTAGTTAGTTAGTTAGTTAGTTAGTTAGTTAGTTAGTTAGTTAGTTAGTTAGTTAGTTAGTTAGTTAGTTAGTTAGTTAGTTAGTTTAGTTAGTTAGTTAGTTAGTTAGTTAGTTAGTTAGTTAGTTAGTTAGTTAGTTAGTTAGTTAGTTAGTTAGTTAGTTAGTTAGTTAGTTAGTTAGTAGTTAGTTAGTTAGTTAGTTAGTTAGTTAGTTAGTTAGTTAGTTAGTTAGTTAGTTAGTTAGTTAGTTAGTTAGTTAGTTAGTTAGTTAGTTAGTTAGTTAGTTAGTTAGTTAGTTAGTTAGTTAGTTAGTTAGTTAGTTAGTTAGTTAGTTAGTTAGTTAGTTAGTTAGTTAGTTAGTTAGTTAGTTAGTTAGTTAGTTAGTTAGTTAGTTAGTTAGTTAGTTAGTTAGTTAGTTAGTTAGTTAGTTAGTTAGTTAGTTAGTTAGTTAGTTAGTTAGTTAGTTAGTTAGTTAGTTAGTTAGTTAGTAGTTAGTTAGTTAGTTAGTTAGTTAGTTAGTTAGTAGTTAGTTAGTTAGTAGTTAGTTAGTTAGTTAGTAGTTAGTTAGTTAGTTAGTTAGTTAGTTAGTTAGTTAGTTAGTTAGTTAGTTAGTTAGTTAGTTAGTTAGTTAGTTAGTTAGTTAGTTAGTTAGTTAGTTAGTTAGTTAGTTAGTTAGTTAGTTAGTTAGTTAGTTAGTTAGTTAGTTAGTTAGTTAGTTAGTTAGTTAGTTAGTTAGTTAGTTAGTTAGTTAGTTAGTTAGTTAGTTAGTTAGTTAGTTAGTTAGTTAGTTAGTTAGTTAGTTAGTTAGTTAGTTAGTTAGTTAGTTAGTTAGTTAGTAGTTAGTTAGTTAGTTAGTTAGTTAGTTAGTTAGTTAGTTAGTTAGTTAGTTAGTTAGTTAGTTAGTTAGTTAGTTAGTAGTTAGTTAGTTAGTTAGTTAGTTAGTTAGTTAGTTAGTTAGTAGTTAGTTAGTTAGTTAGTTAGTTAGTTAGTTAGTTAGTTAGTTAGTTAGTTAGTTAGTTAGTTAGTTAGTTAGTTAGTTATTAGTTAGTTAGTTAGTTAGTTAGTTAGTTAGTTAGTTAGTTAGTTAGTTAGTTAGTTAGTTAGTTAGTTAGTTAGTTAGTAGTTAGTTAGTTAGTTAGTTAGTTAGTTAGTTAGTTAGTTAGTTAGTTAGTTAGTTAGTTAGTTAGTTAGTTAGTTAGTTAGTTAGTTAGTTAGTTAG